AAAATTGGTTGCCTAGTGTTGAACCTTCAATATTTTTTTTTCAGTTTTCAGTTGCTTTTTCAAAGATGAAATTTGTTCCTGATCTAATGGTATTCTTTCTTTGCGATATGATGTAACAGGAATATTTTGAATTTTTGTCAACCATTCATTCGTAGATTCATTTGAAAGTATTTCTTCAAAGTCTGATTTACTTGTTGATGGCTGTTCTTGCTGCTGGTTCGAATCCCTAGAACCACCATATGTTTTTCTAACCATACTTTGATCAAATCTCAGATTTTCCTTCTCGTCATCTTCAGATTCATCTTGTGAGTGATGTTTGTCTGGGACAGCATCGAATGGCAAACATTTGTGTTGAAGAAATCGTGGATCGAAACATCTGCTGCACAAAAAAAATTGTTACTTAGTGATTTTGGGCTCAGACCAGGCAGTGTGATGTTGCCTCAAAAAGAGAAGATATTAATTGGTAACTCGATAAAACAACTTGTTGAAGTTTTTATTTTTACAAGCTTTTTTTTAGTTTCAGCTTTATCGGTATCTGACTGTAATCAAATCTTGCAAGTTAAATTTGACACACATTTAATTATCCGATTGATTTGAAATTTGGTAGTGGCGGACAAGTTTTCTGATAATGGTCCAATTCTATTCAAAATTGGTATCTGAGCAGGCGCGTGCCTGAGGGGGGGGTAATGGGGTAATTACTCCCCCCATTTCCATAACTACATAGAGGAAAAATTTGAGCATTTCTTATTTTCCAACTCAAAAAATGATTATGAAGATACAACTACGGGTTTTTACACCTGTCTTCTAGCTTCCAGGAGCAAATTATCGAAAATAGGAAACGTCTCACTTCTATTATTGAAAGCATTATCTTTTTGGGTCGGCAGAATATTCCATTAAGAGGACATAGAGACAGTAGAGCTATTGAGATGAAAAGTTTTGAATCTGAAGATATTGATATAGATGTAGTGTTACTCAAGATTTACTTTTTAAAACGTATATGAATCCTTCATAGTAAATATTGGGCCCGAAACGGGTGATTACCCTCCCCCCAAGGATTTACTCTAGGCACGCGCCTGTATCTGGGGGTTTTCAGGGTCGGAGATTTTTTATTTCGGTGTCTGACTGTATCCATATACTCCACCTTGTGTGACTTTCATAATAAATATCCATCATTTCGTTTTTTCCTTTAATAAATTTTAGACTAGTCTAAAGTTATTTTCAAAATTCGATATCTCGATATCAATTTTGTTCAGAATCTCCATCAGAATGATAAAATGGAATGATACATTGAAGAAAAATCAACTTTATTTCTTCAAGACTTTTTGACCTATCTTGTATACCTACTTAATTTTCATTTACTATGGTAGATTTTGAAAAACCCTAAAACTTCTGTATTTTAATATGTTTCGCTAGATGGTTGACTTTAAGAGAAAATCGACCGTTTCCATACATATCAGCTACCCTTTATAAAAAAAAATTATGCAACAGTCATGAATAATCACCAACTGATAATTATTATTTTTCAATATTCAGCAAAGTGGTGGTGGTAGTGGTGGTGGTGACAGGCGTGGTTGAATAACTTGAGCAAGACAATCAAATTACTTTAAAGCTTTGCGATCCAACCAAAACTGTGCCTTACATGAAATACTGTTAAAAAAATTAGGGATTACAGGTATTTCGCTTCAATAAATAAGAACCTATCTGCCAACAACTAGTAAAATGTTCATGGTACTCTGTCAAACTTCCAAACTGTCAGAAACAGCTTTCCAAAAGGGTCTGTTTTGATGGTCCAATTAGATAAGGGTCGTTTGCAATACTTTTACATGAAGATAGTTGCATTTTTTTGTAATATTGATATAAGAGTAGGACTCTTGCAGAATAATAGACCCATTAGAAGTTACTTTACATCAACATATTGTGAAATTGATATATTTTGGAAAATAACATCAAGAAATCGACTCCATATCATACAGGGCTTGCTAAAATTACTATTATTTCCATTGTACATAAAAGTAGTCAAAAGTTCATTTTTTGAAATGAAACTTCCTGTATATTACTCGGTAAATTGAAAGATGGCGAAAAATGCTTCAAGATGATATATCATGTCCCTATACCTAAATCGTCAAGTTTTCTCAATAAAGTCGCCTCTTCTAGAAACATTATTTTTTTTAGAATTTGGATTTAGGTAGCAGTAGAATTCTCAAGCTTATAGCAGTTCGATTACTTGTATGAGTAATTTACAAAGAGTTATCGACGGTGTTTCGAATCATCGTCCAAAATGAATGCAAATATCGACTATTCAAACGAAGTTCTTATGAAATTATTCATTATACACATGAACAAAGTGATCAAATCATTGTCAGAACATGTAAAAAATTCAACCAAATGTATCCTGAATTAACACCAATGAACGAGAGGAAGTTTGTAAGGTTACAAAATAATTTCCTTAACTATGGCTCAAAGTTTCCAGGGAACAACTGTACCAAAAATCAGTCATTCCTAGGTAAAAAGTAAGATTTTGTGGGCTAAAACATGTGAAAGTACAGACAATAACAGAATAGGATGATTCAAAATAACAAAATTGTAAACAAAATATCACATTTTCACAATAAATGCTGAAAATGTTGTCCATTACATTCTAAACACTTCAAAATGTTTTTTGTACGCGAATTGTGGTTGGTTTTTCAATTTCCTGGGGATCCAGATTTTCAATACTCCGCACTATTCGCCGTCGCAATTCTTCGTCCAGTTGAAACCACGAATTCCTATATCGCTCTTAAGGCAAATTTTCAAGAAAATCGGTTACAGTCGTCCTTAATATTTGGAGATATTTCTCTGCATTTAGTGTGTCTTCATAAATAAAAAAGCTAATTTTATTGTTCTTCAGAATACAGAAAACATTCAGGTCAAATTTTTCTTGAAAACCCATTTCTTTGGTAACATGAGGATCATGATCAGCCCAAAAATGTTTATTTCTTCTATTGAAAATACCATCCCTCATAAATTTTGATTCGTCGCTCCAAATTATTTTTGACAAAAATTCCCGATCTTCCTGTGTATGAATCAAAAGGGATTCACAAAAATGCATTCTACGTTCGAAGTCTTCTGCTTTTAGAGCTTGAAACTTGGTAAATTTATACGGATGCATTCCGTGATTTTTCAAAATTCGTTGTACTGAAGCATGTGATACACCTAAATCTTTTTCTGCACTGCGAATGGAAGCTTCTGGATATGCATGAAAATATGCCAAAACGTTAACAGTATTGTCCTCATTTGAAGTACCGTTTTGGTAATGTTGAAGGCGCTTTTAACATGGAGCCATAGTTGAGGAAATTATTTTATGATATTACAAACTTCCTCTCGTTCATTGGTGTTAATTCAGAACACATTTGGTTGAATTTTCTACAAGTTCTTGCAATGATTTGATCACACTGTCCGTGTATAATTAATAATTTCCTAAAAACTTCGTTTGAATAATCGATATTTGCATTCATTTTGGAAGATGATTCGAAACACCGTCGATAACTCTTTGTAAATTACTTATAAAAGTAAAATTTCAGTGAATCTATTCACTTTTAGAACAATTCGCGTACCGCGATTTTGAAGTTTTTGTAATTGGGATGTTTTATTTAGATCAAACAAGAAAATAATAGGAGCACAGTAATCAAGATGTGGTTGGTACTAGCCAAAAATCAAAGAAATTAAAATGGCAAATTTTAATGTATAATTTTTCACATTAGGTATGTGGAAAGCGTGCACCAGAAGGTGAAATGTTATATGTCCCAAGATTATTTAGACAAACAATGGTCATTTATTTTCAGTTTTGCAATGTCATAATGCTCTCCGGCCAAAAGCTGCCGTTCGCAAATTAATGTGTAACAGATTATTGAATTATTAATAATTTCCTATTATAGCGGTTATGAAAAAGTGAACTGAAAATCAGAATTCTAAGAAACATTCAGTCATGTGATATACTTATCATGGTGATCACATATTCCCCCAACGCCGCTTAGGCTACGCCCCTGGAAAATTGTGAGAATATTGATTTCCTGTTTAAATGAAATCGTCTCCTTCATAGAAAACTATAACCAGTAGTAACTAGTTGAGCTTTTGGCGTCCAGATGGAAATTATAACCAGTAGTAACTAGTTGAGCTTTTGGCGTTCAGATGGGAGTTCCTCCTCACTATTGATATGGAGCAATTATTGAATTTTATATTTTACGTTATGCTTATCAGTTGAAAGGGGAAGGGAGCCAGGCTTCAACCTGCAGGAACTCAAGATGGATTCTTTATATCTTAAATAACATGAAATCTGTTTATAACTGAATTTGGAATAGCGGCAGTTGTCATCTTCCACTCTTTTTGCTTGTATAACATTAGTTTTGCTACCATCCACTAGAGGGTAGCACCAGTTTACTTATGAAAAGAAGATTATCTTCCCACCTGTGCGGCAGCTTCTCTACGAACAAAGCAGAAATCTGCGTGGCGAACTGTCAGTATGTATTAAATGGCGGTTAGTGTGAGTACGTAGGATAGACTATTCGCAAAAACACGACGATAAACATTGAAAATGAGTGCTACGGGAATTTTACCTACGTACCAAAGATTTGTGAATGGTGTGCCGGTGTCATTTTCTCGGAGATCGTGTCGTGCTCGAGAGAAATATGTAATATTTTTAGTTTTTATCACATTCGGTCTGATATGTTTTGGAACATTCTTCTATTTACCGGAATTCCGAACGGGGGGTACGGCTGAAAGTGTTTTCAAAGTTTACGACCAAATCAAAAGAGCTGGACCTGAATTATTGATACCTCCTCCACCTCATTTAGAGGATACTAGGGAGGCCCCAAAAATGTTGAGGCACGAGGAGGACTTCAGAGTTGATCCTCATGTTATTGGAGACAGGGCCAAACTTAAGGCTAAAATTGAACAAGACGGTGAGTTGAAAGTGTTAGAGAGACCTGATTTGGTGGTACCAAAAACCTCAACAGTGAGACAGAAAAATATCGTGAATCAATTAGATGAAAATATGGGAGCTGAGGACTTTGGGATTGCTAACATCATTACTGTGCCCCCAGCTCCAAGTCAGCATCATCCTTTAATCAGAGGTGGTGAAGACACGGACCCCATTGCTAGAGAACGGAGAGAAAAAGTTAAAGAGGTGAGTGTGAAAACTTCTTTGAAGAAAATATAATTAGTACTTAATAACAACCCGCCCTTGAGCAGATATAAATAATAATTTAGGTAAGTAGTTGCCCAGTTTTTTCATTAAAACAGTTACATGTGTGAAATTGTTTACAAAATTAGTTAACCTACTTTTGTGAACTCTGAAACATGCATTTAATTTCGGAACAGAACTGTTTCAAATATCATCATCAACTACAATTTGCTGAATAGGAAGTATCATTAATTAATATCCCAAGCTTAATAAGATAAGTAAGGTTATATTTACATACTATACTATAGTCATGACTACAGTCGTCTATATTTATATATTTAATGCTTATTTAAAGAATCAGAATTTTTTTACTGCACTATTCAATTATCAGTTGACAAATCATCTGAGGTTTAATTGAGAAATAGTTCAAGTAAACGATAAGTGCAACCTACCTACCAACAGTTCCTCTTTAATAATATAGTTAGGGAGCTAACTAATTTGTTATTCAATTATTCAATTTCTGAGTATCGCTTCAAAAATACTTCACTAACTTTCTTTGAAAGCTTCTGATAATTCCTATCCATATTCTCTGTTTCACTATCACTGTCGTCATTCAAATCAATAATGAATTTATTTCCACCATTAATATGCAAGTGTCCACATTAATATGCAAGTGTCCAATCTCCATATAGTCTTTTTCAACTGAAATTACTTTTTTAATCCTTTTCTGCCATTTTACTTTGGTAATATAAAATGAACCACAATATTAATTGAATTAATTAAGTTAAATTCTAAAATTGAAGTAAAATCTAACCTTTAAAAATATAAACAAAATAAAATTACTGTAATCGATATCAATAAACAAAGATATAATTCATCAGAGTTAATATTAGTTCATTTGTTTGTTCATCTGTATAATATGTCATGATTTGAAAGTTTCTTTCTTTAGTGAATTGCAGAAGGTGTAGTGACATCTATGTTCCAAAAGATGTAATGTGGGCGTAATGTTCAGTACGGATCCACCAACATGTGCGTAATAACTTTGTATATAGAAGACTATCCATTTTGCAGCTAAGATAAGATT